GGCCAACAATTGGCTCACTTTCAAAATTACTCGCAAATAAATTTATTGCTCCTCGCTGGGAGGTGAACCGACTTTCATTTATTTACTCTCAAAAACAAAAATCTTGGCTCGGTCGACCGCGAGATTATCACGATTGTTAGATTCCAAAATTACTCTCCAGTCGCACAATAGTTTTCCGCGCAAAATGACGATTACGATTTTGTGCCTCTCATTATGTGTCATTTAAGCGCAAATTATGTAAGGAAACAAAACAGGAATTGTTATTTGCGCTGCAACACGTTCGTGGAACGTGCGTCCGTATTGCCTGGCAATCACGCACTATGACGACCGTGATAACTTTTCTGAGGAATCATCAATGTATTTTTTCTTCTCTCCTGCTCCGTTGGTTTTTCTCTCAATTTCGCTCTTCTCTCCCATAATAAAATCGGTGCGAAAGGCCTCAAAGGCTGTGAATGCGTCTCGAGAGGAGTGTGCGTTTTTTGTCTTTCTCTTCGGTTCGACGGGCCGACTATCTGTGCATTGTGCGCTCGAGGGTCCTTCAGGCAGCTCTTTCACATACGTAGTAATTGAGAGTAATTCACAATTGGCGTCCTCTCCACTCTGCGCAGCCAAGGCATCGCTCCTTCACGGCAGCCGCGATTTTTATTATACACACCATCGGCTACCGGCGCAAACGAGTTTGGCGTGCACTTTATATATTTGGCGTAAGAAAGAAAACCCTCTCGCAGCAAGCGACGCGTCCCGACTCGCGAGAAAGGGAAGTGCAAAAAATCATAATTACTTTGAAAATTGGATGATCTTTGAAAGGTTTTAATAATATTATATTTATTAATTGTTAAAGTTTAATCATAGAGAATATATAATTTAAAGTATTTATAATAAAAAAATGGCTATTCGCTAGACTTGTTCAGACTTAATTTGCATTAAAAACAGTTTACTTAGATTACAAGGGAGGCCAACATTATATAAAATCAATACAATTTTAGCAATCATTGGCGTATTAATTATAAGGTCATTTGATAATTAACAAATTGTTTACAAATTATAAAGTTAATACACAAAACAATAAAAGTAAAATGTAAAATAATTTTAACAATTTTAAATAGTACTAAATTTGTTAATTATGAAATAATGTGAACTAAAATTTTCATTACATTTTTTTTTTTTTAAATATTGGTTCCAAGTATTTTTATTTTTTTTATAATCACGCCACAATTTATTCATTCATTGCCCAATTTGATTGTCTTATATTTCATTCAATATTTTCATTTATATGTTTCATTATTTCAAGTCCATTTGTTCATAAATTGTAGAAGAAAGTGAAATTTTATTTTATTTTTTAAATAAAATTTCAAAATGACTATTTTTAAAATATCTCTGCTTCTAGAGACTTATTTCACCAGTCTATTCATTAATTAAATCGACTTCAAATTTTATATCACAAAGACGAAAGGGTGCGATAAATAAATTGCTCTCGTTGTCAGTAAATATTTGAACATGGTCGATTTTTCACTGCCCGTTTGCACAGCACGCAGATTCTTCCGCGCCGCCGATTTTGATTGAGAAAAGGCATAAAAAATCCGCTCTCGGCGAAATGGTCCGTGTGAGGGGCGGCACAGAACAACCGAAACTCCCCTCCTTTTCTGACAATGTATACAACCGAGAGTACACGAGCATTGTGCGCGCCTAAATAATGTCTGTGTTATGATAATGAGGCAACGCGACACTGTAACTTTCGTCCCCTGGCTGGATTACGACATCACGCAGAGAAAATAAATCGGCTGCTTTTATTGTGTGTCAGCGAGACACATCATTATTTAAAGGGGGTTAACCAGCCAGCCAGAGGGGTAGGTCGGTGTCTGCGAGCAGAAAGGCTTCTCTATTTTAATTTTTTTAATATATTTTCGTTCCGGGATGAAAAATTGCTCCAGGTGGGGAAAATTTTCTAATTGCGGCTGCAGTTATTCATATTTCTCGACGCGAAGTCATCAATTATGTCACATGAGTCACGACTTGATGTTTGTCTCTGCAGCTCTCAGAGTACCTGACAGAAACAGAAATGGATTTTCCGTCGGCTACCGAGTGTGTCACGTTTTCAACCCTCGATCGCTCTTTCTTCGTCACGGAAATTCAGAGCGACGTGCACAATTTTATTGCGACACAGATCTGACAGCAGAGCAGGCTTTCGGTTTTTAGGCGATGCTGATTGTCCTTGTAAGTACCGAGAGAGCAAAGCGATTTTTTGTTCATTGCAGCTGCGACGCAAAAGATATCTCTAGCTGGGTGGGAGCCTTAATTGTTAATTTAGCATGCAAGGGCATGCTACGATATAACGGAGTCGAGCGGAAAAAGCGCCGAGTCACGGCCAGAAAATCAATCAAGACGCGGCGGGAAAGCGACAAGTTCGTTCGGACAGCGGCGACAGAGGTGAAAATTGCCTTTGCACACTCTGATGATTAAGTACATTGAACTTTTGACAATCAGCTTAGGGAGATGTAAAATAAACTGCTGGTTTGGGATTTTTTAAATTTAAATTAAGTAATAAATTAGCAGAATTGATAAATTACAAAAAATATTCAGTTTCATAATAAAAGACTGTCAAATTTATTACATTCCAATGCAAACTTACAATTTTTGCTCCTACTATAATTCATATTGTTTGACAAAAGCTACAGTTAGTACATATTTTGCATATTTTAAACCATCAAAGCTTTTTAATTACATTTTTAATGACCACTTAAATAATGGAAAGTTGAAAATCATTGCAGGCATGATATAAACTTAAATAAATTTGAATCATCTCTAAATAAACTTTCAAACCTATGGCCCTACTTAGAAAGAAATTATCTGCTGAAATATTTTTTGATTAAAAATTACTACTTCGACGTGGAAATAAAATTTTAAATTGAACTCTTTTTTAAACACTTTTCACCAGTCGGATAATTTTTTACTACATTATAATTATGTAAAAGCAATATTAAAACAGCTTATAATAGTTTTAATAGTAAAATAATTAAAAATATTTGTTCATAATTCAATTTTTATCTTATTGATTTAGAATTCAGTGTAAAAACTTTTTAAATCAAATGATATTTCTTTATTTTTTTATTTCTCGATTTTTTTCGCGTCAAATGTCAGCCATCAATCCGTTTTTCAAACTGTAGCTCTGCTGTAGCTTTCTATTGCAAAAAAAAAATAAAAAATAAAAAAAAATGCTGGAGCTGAACAAATTGCTCCTGCGCCTGTCGCGAACAGTTTCAGCTCGGCAAAATTTTATTGTTTCGCCGCGCTCAGGGACGTGTGCGCCTAAATATAAACATCACACTCAGCCGCAGTTTACACACACATTTTTGCGCATTCCTCGTTTCAAAACAATCCGAGAATAGCCATTGCAAAAAAGAGAGGGAGTTTTGCGCCGGACATATAAATATTTCCAATCGGCGCTGATGGGCCGACTCGTCTAGTCTGCGAGTGAAAAATAGTCGTTTCGCTATTGTCTGACGTTCAGTTTGTGCTACAACTAGCAGCATTGCCGCCGCGTTCGGCGGCTGCCGCAGACGCAAACCATCTGCCCCTATTCAGTAAATACACACCCTAGCCCTGCTATAAATACGGCGTGCATTCGTCCGACTGGTCTCGCGGCTGCTGCAACGTGCTTTTACCTTATTTGGTCGACAATGGATTGATTTTTGATTCCAGGCCATTGACGTGCATCCGCTCGACAAATGGTCGTTTCAATAAATAAGTAAATAATTCTGGGGGATTTCAGGGGGTTTCCAACTGTCGACGCCAATATTGCGTGCGGCGGGCCACGAAATAATGGCGTAAGCGGATTGTGGAAGCCGTAGATAATTGGCGTCTGACCGAGACTAAATCGCGTTTTGATTGACTTGTCCCATGATTGCGTCATGGCGTTGGCTTTGCGGCAAAATACGTGGGTACTTTTTGAAAGAAAAAAATAATAATTTAATAATAAATAAAACATGAATTAATCTATTTGGTAATGCTTCGTTTTGTCAAAATTACCTTGTATTATTTCAGGAATTCGCAAAATTGTTCAAAATTTGTTTGTTTAAAGAAAAGTAGGAATTATTTTCAGACATTTTCTCCCTATAAAACGGTTGTAATTTTAAGGTTAAAGTAATTTTCGATTTTTTTTTTTTTAGTATATTTTCGATAATCTTTACTTCAAAAGAAAATAATTCTGCACCTCTGTCTTTTTAGAATTAATTATTTACAGAGGCAAATCAAGTCTTTACAGCAAAAGATTCAATTTTAACAAATTAATAGTAAATAGTTGTGAAATTTTAACTATTGTTTAAACAACCAGATTTGACTATTTCAATAATAAATCCTTATTTAAAGAGCAGAAGAAAATTACAAAATGTATATAAACATGTTTAATAGTTTTTTTTTTAATTAATTCTAAAATTCTTGAAGCGACTGAAATTGTTATTATCAAAATTAAAAAAAAGGTGTACATTTGATTCATAAAAAAATCGTTTGATAAATTCATTGCTTTTTTCCCAGCTCAAATATGTGAAGCACGAGTTTCTTTTCATTACAATATTTTATGAACAAGATTTAATTAATTTTTTAAAAATTCAAATTTTCTATGATTTCCAATCAATTTTTAATAGTTCATGTGAAACGAAATAAATTTTTTTGTTTAGGCTGAAAAATTTAAGCTGTTTTATATGAAAAATTTTCATGAAATAACGGCCTTTTCGAGAGTTATTTTGATTAGAATTGTTCTCCAACGCAATAAATCTTAGATTGCGGCACGTCACATGAGCTAACATGACATTTAGAGCCTAAGCAAAGAGACGAATTATCTCTGGGAATGTGGCGTTGACAACCAAAAAGCGATGCATGATACAAGTTGAGAGCGTTTCCAACTCAAACTTCCTCTGGTTTTATCTATTCCTATAACAATAAATGTTCTCGTCCGCGGCGAACAAACAAATGACACAAAGTTTCGTAAGCAAAAGCGACCTTACCTTGTTTACAGTTGACCTGGTCTCGGGCGGCGACGCGGGCAGCATCTTGTCGGCGCTGCTGCTCCTCCTGGACGCGGGCTCGTTGCGGCCCCTGCGAAAAGAGGCCCTGGCCGCGTTCTCCGCCATTCTGTACTTTTTTTTGTTCACTTCACATCACTGTACGCTGAGCATCCTCTCTCAACACCATTAGCGACAACACTGACTGAGCCTCATCTCACGAGCTGCTCGTCGTCCTGTGGAGTAAGAAGAAAAACACATCAGCGTGAAGGTCAATTAAAATAATGTAGTGGGAATTTTCTCTCTCTTCAAGAGCATAAAATGCATACGACGGAGCATCTCCGCGCCAGAGTTGGGGCGGTTTATCTTTCTCTCTGGCTAGTTTTATTATATTATTATTTTATATTATGCGTGAGTGGTACTTTTAACTTATTGAGAAAGGAACCGCCTTGAAAACAAATAATGCTGCTGTATAATTAGCACCAAGAACTGATCACTTCACGTTATAAGAACGCCTGCGCTGGATGATGAGAGATGGAAAACGAAAGCGTCGATTTATTTTATAATGATGGAAAATTGAGCGTGGTTTTTATTTATTTTGTTCGGTCAAGGGAATTGTAGGAAATGTTACAAGATGCACGCGTCTCTGTTCGAAGGATATAATATGCAGGTTGTTTTCTTAGTTTTCTTCCGTCGGTTGAGATATCAAAGCCACAAATCGCGTGACCCAAAAGGGCACTTTGGTTTGCGGAGAGGAAAAGTGAAAACAGTTTGTGCTTTGCTTCTATAATTATGTTGGAAATGCATCGCATCATAATTCTTATCAAACTCATTTTGGTGATTTTTTTGTAATTCAAAAGTCAGCTGTTCCCAAAAAGTAATATTTAAATCAATATCTAAATCTTTTTAAGCTAAAGATGGTCCAGAACTTGATAAAAAATGTGAATTTAAGTTTTGTGTACATGAAAAAGTCCGAATAAAGTTCTATGAACCTTGACTGAAAATTCGATATTTTGGATCAGGGTGACACAATTTGTAAAATTGATTAAAAAATTATTTTTATTAGAAAACTGAAAAAAAATTATATTCCGCTAATTTTTGAAATCACTGCTCCTTGTTTATTTATTTTAAAGTAAAGCATATTTAAAGTCTTCGAGTGAATGGAATATTTTTCGCCAATTTCTAATTCTAAAAAAAAAACAATTTCCCTCATGGAAGTCTCATTTTAAACATTTTTTCTTCTTTTTTTGCACACCTCTCTCTGAATTGCGCAGTAAATTCAACATTTTTGGCAGAGAACATGAGGTGCAACGTGGTGTATATAAATAATCCATCGGAAAAGCAGCCGGATCTCGTTTCAACAGAGAGGAGGCCCCTTTTCGATAAAAAGTACATAAGCGAAGCCAGAAAAACACGCAGCGCACGGACACACATCCAACAGAATATTTGAAATTCTAGAAGGAGCGTGCGGTGAATTTGCGTCTCTCGAGGTGAAGGAGGTTTGCCGAGCTAAACCAACCGGGTTTGGTCGCCGTCCAGATAGATATCCGCGACGTGCGGTAATAACAAAAAGGAAGGTACCACATTTCTCCAGCAACTTGCGCAACCTGTCCGCAGTTTGATAATAAAAAAAAACAGATTGTGGGCTCAAATTTCATAACATACTTTGGAGATTGGTTACCTTGGATTGAGATTTATTAAAATATTTAATAAATAAATTAAAATAATTATGTGCAATGAATTTTTTCTTCAAATATGTTCTTATTTCAAATCAAATTAAACGAATCATTTGAAATTTGGAAGAGTGTCTTCTTTTCTTTAATGATTTGAATTTTCAAAGTAGATTATTGAAAAAACAGATTAAAAGAAAGCTGCTGCCTAGCAAGATGTATTCTCTCAAGGTTCAAAATGCTTTTTGTGGTAAAAATTAAACCTTTTCCCAAAAACCTTAGTATCAGACCTTCAAATTTGGCATTTTAATTATGATTTAAATTAATAAAATTTTCCTTTTTTCCGAATGCAACAATGAAAATTATAACTGGAGAAGACATTTTTTATTTAGAAAAATATGAAATCACCAACTTAAATTTAAAAAAATTAATTGTGTATTAAATAATGCCATTCTAAATCATATAAAATTGTTGCGTATTATACAATAATTTAACAAAACTACATAAAAATGTATTGCACGAAGAGAACAACCCGCATTTATGTTAAGGTTGTATCTATTTTGTTCCATCCAAGGCTGTGCTCTTCATTAAACTTCTATATAATTCCAATTTGAATAGTATCAAATAAATCGACGCTAAAATACGCTCATTTTATGCAGCGACCACCGAGAACATTGTTCCATAGAACAATCCTTAAAAAAGCAACGAGCAGAAAAATCAAGGCAATACATTTCCCATCAGCTCTATATCTCCGGAGATAATGCAGGAAAGTGCATAAATTAAGAGCGTGCCGCATAAAATTACACTTTCATCAAGGTTGTCACCACGCGCGCGGCGATTTTGTCTCATATAATAATAAAAGTTATAGAATATGGTGGCTGAACTACTACTGCGCGAAGCGTTATTGAAATTCAAGCGATAAAACGGCAGCACCGAGGATAAACTCTCGTGGCATAAATATTATGAATTCCCTGCTCTAATCCAAACAAATAAATATCGGACTGAAAGAGAGGCTTCTCGTCTCTCGTCGTATACTCAAGTAGGCCTCACCGTTTATAAAAATGAAAGGTAATGAGCGCTAATCATTAGACATGCGTTAATGTGATCCGTCAGTTTTGCAGTAAATTATACACAGACGTCATCTATAGCCAACTTTGTCCCACTTGCGCTGACAAATTAATCTTTGGTCGCCGCCAGCCGAGTGTAAAACAAGCCGCGCGACACTCGCTTTGACACCTGACCGAGTTGTTTCGTTATTTTCTTGCTGTGTGAATTCAGCTGGTGGGAAAAGTAGTTGAGAACTTTCTTCGCATTGTTGCCTGGTGGCAAATGACTGATAATGAGTGCTCATTAACCAGGCCCACCGCATATGCACACACATGTTTAGTAGAAATAATAACGACAGTGAAAGGGAAGACGAACGTACTTTTGTTTGGCGAGCAAAACGCATCTGCTTGTTGAATTTAATTAGGCAAAAGTGAACGAGGATGCGAAAGTTGGTTCTTGAGAGGTAGTTGAAGGTTTAAGAGTCAAATGAATTAAACTCAAGTTAAAAAGCACTTTAAAAGTTTGTTATTTTAATTTTAATCTTTATATAAATCAAAAAGCGTTACATCATTTTTAGAATTTTTCCTACTTTTACAGTTTTAACTATATTTAAAATTAAATTTAATACTATGAAACATAAAACATAATGCTTCCTTTATTATTTCAAAAAAATGTGAAAAATGGAATCTTACATTAAAATTAAAAAAAATTTATAAATGTAATTGCAAGGAGTAAGTTTAGATTGAAATGAATATGAAAATGTAATTTCTTTCGGTATATTAGGTGGCAGAGACTTCCGAAACCTTAGATGATTTATTAAATTATATACATTAATGAAAATTTGGGGGATTTGAGTTAGTGATATAGAGTTTAAAAACTTATAAACTAAATAGTTAGAGGTTATTTACTTAATAAAATAGAGACGATATTTTATACTCTACAAATGAAAAAATATTTCTCATTCTAGATCATAAAACTCGGGCGAATTAATTTTTTTAATGATCTAAAATGATTGAATCAAATTTTTGTATGGATTTAACATTGAAATATTGGAAAAGATGTCACTCAATTACAGTGCCTTCTTCAAGCCGCCCTTAAAATATCCATAAATTGTAAATTAACTAATCAACAATAGCTCAGCCTAGGCTAGCCATTACAATTGATTAGAATAATCCTTAATATAATGATTTATGATTCATTTTTCATTTATTTGAAAATAATAAAAAAAAACGTTAAATTTTCTAGCACTTATAAAAATGCTATACAAAAAAGCTTAAGAGATGATGGATTATTCTTGCAATTTAGGACAAGAGAATTATACAAATTTTAAAAAAATTCAACCTCCTCCCTTTCTCCAGCATCTCTTGTTTCAGACACGAGCATCACGCCCTCTTTTGTCCCACGCGGCAGCGCACCCGAAATTAATTCTAATTAAGCGCGCGGACAAAAGAAAGGCCGGTCGAGCTGCATCACGGAAGCCCGCACTACTTTTTATCAGTTGCGGCGGCTCGTCGCAGACACAATAAAGGGTCAAGAGATAAAGTTGGGCTGATGAAAAGAGTGCTTGTTGCCACCGCCCGTGTGTCATTCCCAGGCCGCGGCGGCACGCGATTCGAAAAGCAGCGCGGCGTGATTCAGCAGCGCACGCAGAACGGCCACCGCGGCCAATGACCCCGCCGGGCGATGATGGCCCTCTCTAAATCACCTTCGGCAAACCCTTCGCGCTGCTAATTAAGTCTCCCGCGAATTGAAAGAAAGGATGGATGAAGCACCCAGGTCTCTTTCAATGAATGCCAATCTTGTAAATTTTTAGCCGACTATAATGACTGGCATTTTTTTTCTACCATAATTAATATAAAATATTGAAAAAATCTTTTTTTTTTTTAATTATATTGACTGATGAAAACCAAAAGGGTATATTTTAATCAATTTAATTTAAACTTCCATAATTGACAAAATAAAAGAATCAGCTTATTCATCCATCATATTCTTCATCTCGAGAGTAATTTAAAAAAAATTAATAATTGTTTTCTTAATAAGGTCAATTTCCATCCAGTTTCGTGAGAGTGGCTACAGTAAAATTGCGAAAGTGGACGCCAAATCCGCGAAACTTTGCGGCCACCGACATGTTTACCTCATTGTCAACTCTGTGTTCGCCACTTTTTTTTTTAAAAATATTGCCAAACATCGTACAAGGCGGTGTGACCAGGCCCAAATACGGAGAACAATGCGCGAGTGGGAACCGGTGCTCACTGGACACTGTATTAAAAGGGGACGCCGCGGCGGCGACGCCGGCCGCTTGCCCAAACCAGAATTAATTATTTATTATTTTGGCCGGAACGAATCTCGTGAGAGTAAGAGAGATGTTACAATGGTTAGAGAACTGGTTTCCAGTTGGCCCCAAAATCCCCAACAGAGTTGAGAGGACAAAAAAAAATGAACTCAAAATCAGTATTTCTTGTTGGAATTTCATTGGAAAAATTTCAATAAATATTGCAAAATTTGAGTTTATTATTAGA